GCTCAACCAACTGAGCCACCCAGGCGCCCTCATTTCAACAATCTTTATAGAGCACGTGTCACTACTACTTTGCTCCTTATCTGTTATGTCTCAAAGAGGGTAATGATTTAGATAGCAAACAGCATACAAATATTAGAACTCAGACAGTTTGACAGGCAGGTCTCAATGAAAGATTTGGAAACTGGAAAAACTGGAAAATGCAGCAACATAGCACAACGGTCGTGGATTTGTAGGACTGGACAGATCTGAGTTCAAGTCCCAGCTCTGATGCTTACTAGTGACTCCAGACAAGTTTCCTTCCCTCATCTAACTTACAAGGCCCTGAGAACTAGAGGCAATAGTTCTCTGCATAGCTAGTACACGTTAAGGTGTTCACACAGTAGCCACCTCACTACTACCATTAACAAGAGGATAGAGTAATCCAACTTATATTCCAGAGTCTGACCCTCAAGAAACATGTAACTAAACTTAGAGATGATCCAGAGACAGGCGGCTAAAACGGGTAAAGGGCAAAGAAAATTCATCAGAAAATCCAAACCTAAAAATATGAGAGGATATAACAAGCGAATCTTAGACCTATTCAGTACCCTATGACTTGTAAAAAAAAAAAAGTAATTTCATAAAATAATAACGTATTACAAATAAACCATGCATTTCTTAGCGGGTAAATTAATGGATAAACAGTCCAAAAATAGTAATGGTAACACCAAGCTCCCTCATAAACACCTTTCTTAGCAGAAAAATGAATGTGCTTCTTAGCACATAAATAGATATAACAAGAAGGCTGTTAAAAAAAAAGAAAAAAGAACAGTCCAGATTAATAATCTGTCTGTGAATATTATGTGACATTATATAATCTCTGCCAACAAGGAACTTGCAATTTCAGGCAGGTATGAAGTATACCAACTGAAATATACAAAATGACATAAATAGTAACACCCAACCACTCCCTGGAAAGAAGCAAACTAAGGTAATCAAGGTTTCATGGGGTAGGTGTTGCAACACAGTAAGATGGGGAAATGTTACTCCACCTGCAGGAGTAGTTTAACGTGTCAAATAGGAGAAGAAAGATCTCAAGTCAGCCTATTTCAGATTCAAGCATATGAGGACATAACTACAACCTCCAACTAAGGACTCAGAAATGTCTCGGAATCTTTTCGTGTTTCAGTGGCAAATAAGTTGGGAACCAAACTGTTCTAACATGGTTATACTCAAATAAAAGGTGATTTATGTTTGCCATGTCATGGGAGTAATTCTTACTGATGTTACTGAAGCATGCTTACTGCAGCATGACTTACCGAAGACTGTGACATTTCCCAGTCACTGGAGGGGTCTTTCAAGCCACTTTCATCCTTCAAGTATTTCTCAAATAACCTTTTGTTGATTGGCTCCTCCATATCAAGAATATCAAGAGCCTGCTGATGCTCTTTTGCAGCATACTGTGTAAAAACCAGAAATACTGTTCATCACCCGTGACTTCTAACACCAGATATACACACAAGTACTGTAGATTTTAAAAGGGTTATATATGATATAAAATATACAAAAATATCATACTCACTCATTACCTAAATTTAAAATGTAGAGTTTAAAATTTAAAATTCTAAAGCAGAATCTTCTTCATGCATGTCAGATTCCAGTAAATGGAGAATCAATATTTTATAGCAAACAATACTAAAGAAAAGAATATTTCCTCATGAAATACTTTACTAATCTGCCAAGCTCGATCACCAGAATCCTTACACATATGTAAGGGATGCATAACATTCACATAATTAAACTTTTACCAAAGAAAACTGAAACTGAGAGCATACTTACATGGCATCTAGCTGCAAGGTAGCGACATGCTTCATATAGCTAAGAGAGAAATTAATCTATTAAAAAAGAGATCAAGATAATATATACCCTCATTCTAAAAGTAAACTATAAGCATAAAATGAAGAAAGCTACTTTCATAATTTTTCCTTTTACTCTTGCAGAAAACCCAAATCCAGTCTTTTTAACTCATACTCGTCTTGGATCTACTGTTTACTAGGCACCAAGGATTCAAAAAGGAGTAAAGAGAGGCACCCGAGTGGCTCAGTTGGTTAAGCGTCTGCCTTCCGCTCAGGTCATGATCCCAGGGTCCTAGGATTGAGTCCTGCATCAGGCTGCCTGCTCAGCTGGGAGTATGCTTCTCCCTCTGCCCCGCACCGCCCCCCCAACTCCCCACTCATGCTTGTGCACACCACTCTCTCTCTCTGAAATAAAATCTTTTTTAAAAAAGGTACAATAAAAAAATAAAATGGTTAAAAAAAAAAAGAATAAGGATCTGCCCTCAAGGAGGTTATGGCAGGAAGACATAAACACAGCACTATGTAAGACATAAACTACATAAACTCTGAAAGAAGGGCATGAGAAATACTGGCCAGTTAAAGAAAACATGTGCAAGGGAGAGAAAAGTGAGAGGTTGGCCAGCATTCCAGGCACTGAACACGACCAGCTATCACATGTCCAAGGGACTGCAAGTAGTCAGCATGACTAAGGTGTGTGTAACATGTACTGGTGGTGGCGCTGGGTTCCACACAGACTGCAGAGAAATCATAAAGGAACTCTGGTGCCTACTGATGCATCTGATTTTACCCTGTAAGTTATGGGAGATCACTGAGTGACACTGTGAGTGCTATCACCAGGCCTGTGTTTGGGAAGACTACCCTTGTGATAGTTTATTTATTTATTTTTTAAAGATGTTATTTATTTATTTGACAGAGAGAGACATAGCGAGAGAGGGAACACAAGCAGGGGGAGTGGGAGAGGGAGAAGCAGGCTCCCCGCTGAGCAGGGAGCCCGATGTGGGGCTCCATCCCAGGACCCTGGGATCGTGACCTGAGCCGAAGGCAGACACCCAACAACTAAGCCACCCAGGTGCCCCTACCCTTGCAATAGTTTAAAAGATAGTTAAAAAGAGAGGGAAAGTAGAGTGGGAAAGATGTTACTAGAGAAAAGAGACAAAAGGCTAAAACAAAACAAATTAAAGACCTGACACGTATGAGCAGTAAAGAGATGGAAAGGAAGATCCATAATTTCAGAGTTATTTAGAAAACAGAATTCTCAAGACTTAGTGACTAGATTGGGGGGGGCAAAAGTGACTGAGATTAGGAATAAGAAAATTTCTCTTTACATTCAATAAGAAAAACTGAATCCTTTTAAATAATTTTGACATTTAATCCAATAACAATTTGAAAAGCTTTGGGAAGCTTTAAATTTCACACACTTACTTTGTCCAGTTTTCGTGACCGAAGTGCATGAGCTGCTCTATGATATTGTGCTGTTAGGTACAGACACTGAGCCAACCAATAAATGTCCTGGGGTTCCTCTGGAAGGAAAAAAAAAAAAACACATAATGGTCAGAGGTACAAGGAAAAATAAAAAGGTTTTTAAAATACAGAAATCAGAAAAAAAATTAGAAGTTGCCACTTACCATGAGAGAGTGAAGCTACTTTATCTGCCCAAAATAGAGCACTTTGATACTGTTGCTATATTTAAAAAAAAAAAAAGTAACTCCTGTTACTTCAATAGTTTTAAACAGATATCTAATATTATTAGAATGTTATATAGTAAACCAACATCTTAATATAATAATTGTTAACATGTTACAAGGGTCTACCAATCATACCTCCATTTTTACATCTCAGCTAGGTGAGTTTTGGTTCAGTGGTACAATAAAAACATTGTTGTAAGATCTTTGATATATACAGTTCTTAAGAAGGTAGGATTTCTTTTTAAACTTATACATTGGAAAAATGTTATCAGCAGGTACCTAAAACACTAGAAAATTAAACAATTCGTTTGTGGTATCTCCTCATTAGCAGTGGTTCTCAGTTCTTGAATGAATGCAACTAGGAACTCTGTTGCCCCTCAACCTGGGAAGAGGAATGCTTAGGGAATGGTTACAAACCTGCTCACCCGTAAGTGCCCCAAGGGTGGAAACCAGGCCTGTCTCATTCCTCACTAGTCCCCATTCCTCACTAGGGCCAAATAGAAAGTGCTCAGGGGCAGCTGTTCCATTCAACTGACTTACCAAAATACAACCCTCCAACGTACTGCAGGCATCTGGCAGCATCATTTCACATCCATTCTGAACATTTCATATCGTATATGCTTTTCCCTCCCCTTCTTGGTTTCCAACTTATTTGGAGAGTATAAGCTTTACAAAAACTAAGTGACCTTGCTGATTCTGGAGTCATTTCTTAAACACTGCTGTTCATTCAAAGGCAGTGCAGATACAGTTAACATGACTTTAAAAGTACTGACTCGACAAAACACGGTTATCTATCTTTAAGTTCTGCCAAATAAGAATTACAACTACACTTCTTGAACATTTTCTATTAACTAGCTAAATTCAAAGACCACCCTGCAACTTTCCTCCTACAGCAATCCTCCCACTTGCACTGAGCACCCACTCTGCCCCGGCAGTCAGGTGGCTGCAGAGCGGGGCTCTGAGCACGTGTTAGGCTCGCGGGGCGCCTAGGTGGTGTCCACTCCAGTGTTGCTCATCTTCCCAGCTGCACAGAGTGCTGGGGCGGGGGGCTTCACCTCTCCCGTCGGGGGCTTTACCCCAGGGCGAAGGCCCAGGCCCGGCCGGACCAAGCGCCACCAAGACCGCGACGACAGTCTCCCCTGCGGGCCAGCGCTCGGAGCGGGCTTGCCTCCCGAGCCCCGGGGCCCGCGCTCCCCGGGTCCGGCCGCCCACCTGGTCCAGGTACTGCCGGACGCGCTTCCGCAGCCGCTCCAGGTTCATGGCCGCGCGGCCGAGGAGTCCGATCGAGCGGCGTCCGCCGCCCCGGCGCGAGCCCTCCTTCCCGCTGCCGGCTGGGCGCGCCCGGAGCCCGCGCCGGAGCCCCCGCACCCGGTCCCGACCCCGCCCAGCTCCGCGCACCGCCCGGGATCTTCCGCTCCCGGCCAGACCCCGCCCCGGAAGTCCTCCGCAAACGCGTCCCCTCCGGCGCCGGAACCCGGGGTTGTGCCGTTGGTTCCGAGGCGTTCCCTTGGCCCTTGGGTTGCCGGCGGTTTGGGGGCCGTGGACGCTTTTCCCTCCCGCTCAAGGTCCCAGGTCGCGCGGCGCGTCGTTGTGTACGTGCGCCGTTCACTCGTATGCTGGTCCGGGGGGGGCGGGGGGCGCTCAGGGCGGGCAGCGGGGCGGTCGCAGACGGGCTTGGGGCGTAGGCGACGACGCCGGCCTCGGAGGGCCGAGGCCGAGTCACGGCGCGCCGCTGGGGTCGCCACGTGTCCCCGTCACGCTGCCTTGCGGCAGAACCCCCAGGTAGAGGAAGCTGTGACCAAAACCCAGGAAGAACTACAGAGGCTGGCCTACTGAGACCGAATCCGTACCCTGGAACGTTATCGTGCCGACGTGGACGCGCCTTCCGCTGGGCAGGGACCCCCTGTCCGTGCTTCCCTTCCGAGGGCGCCCCCACTGACCAAGCTCCGCTCGGCGTCCCCCGAATCCCTCTTTCAGCCATACCCGACTTTGGGACTTCCGTGTTCCGTTCTGCATCGTCCCATTTTAGCAAGAACCCCCCACCCTCTGTGTGTGCTCATCCTTGACTTATGCGCGAATTCCTGTATCCTCCCCCGCACCCTCCAGTTGCTGTCTGAGCACCCTGGCTTGCCTTCAGCAAGAATCCTGTTAGGTCAGTTTAGACAGAACCCCCCCCCCCGATGTTTACTCTTAATAATTTTCTATTCAGAGACCCCCGCCCTGCTCCTTGGCTATGAATTCCCACTTGCCTGTGGTGTATTCAGAGTTGAGCCCAATTTCTTGTCCTCGCCGCAGATTTCCACCATCAGTGGTCCCTCTACCTACGGTGATAGCTCCCCTACCTTGAATAAAATCTTCTTACCATGCTTTGACAAATGTCAGTTGAGTATTTTTTTTCTTTAACACCATGTGTATGAAATATAGTGGTTGTCAGGGGCTGGACTGAGGGATGGGCTTGGGCAAATGAGATTGCTGGGGATTACCACAATGATCTAAAATGGATTGTAGTGATTCCTGCACAACTCTGAATGAACTAAAAGCCACGAACTGTACACTTTAAATTTTACAGTATGTAAAATATAGTTCAATAAAACTGTAAAACTTCTTTGACCTCAGAGAGTTACCTCACAGAACAACCTGAGGTAGTGCACAGAACTTTTTTCAATCTATTGGAAGGAAACAGGTGTGTAAATACGTAAGTGCAGTGAACAAGTACAAAGATGCATGACTCAGGAAGGAGTGGAGGGACCACGAGGGAAGAGTCAATACTACCCAAGTGAAAACTGGGTGACACATAAGTGATGAAAATGGAGGTGATATAAGCTGAGCCTTTCCTCCTCATAACGAAGTTAAATTTTTTGAACAAAGGCAACGCATTCTCATTACCAAAAAAAATAATGTAGATGGATGAACCACAAATGAAGTCAAAAGACAAGAAATAAATTGGAAACCTACCATAAGATGCTAATTTCCTTTAGATGTAAAGCCACTATAAAAAGACCAATGGCTCGGGTTGCCTGGGTGGCTCAGTCCGTTGAGTGTCTGCCTTCGGCTCAGGTCATGAGCCCGGAGTCGGGATCCAGCCCCCACATTGAGCCCCGCATCAGGCTCCCTACTCAGTGGGGAGCCTACTTCTCCCTCTCTCTCTGCTCCGCCCCCCCCCAAAACTTGTGCTCTCTCTCTCTCACTCTTGCTCTCTCACTCTCTCAAATAAATAAACAAAATCTTAAAAAAAAAGACCAATGGCTGGGGCGCCTGGGTGGCTCAGTTGTTCAGCATCTGCCTTCGGCTCAGGTCATGATCCCAGGGTCCCGGCATCGAGACCCGCATCGAGCTCCCTGCTCAGTGGGAAGCCTGCTTCACCCTCTCCCACACCCCCTGCTTGTGTTCCCTCTCTATGTCTCTCTCTGTCAAATAAATAAATAAAATCTTTTTTTAATTTTTTTTGATTTTTTATTTATTCATTTGAAATAGAGAGAGAACATGAGCAGGGAGAGAGGCAGAGGGAGAGGGAGAAGCAGGCTCCCGGCTGAGCCAGGAGCCCGATGTGGGGCTTGATCCCAGGACCCTGGGATCGTGACCTGAGCTGAAGGCAGACGCTTAACCATCTGAGCCACCCAGGCGCCCCAATAAATAAAATCTTAAAAAAAAAAAAAAGACCAATGGTTCAAGAATTAAAATGGGCAAATGACTGAAAATATACTTCATAGGGAAAGAAATGCAAATAGATTCTAGACATGAAATAAAGCTCAACTTCATAATAAAAATTAAAATTATAGTAGGGTGTCACTTTTTATACATCAGCAAAGAGCAAAAAGATTGGTGACACTTGTTGGCAAGAGTGTGGGGAAACAGGCTCTCTCATATATTATTTTTGTGGGTGATGTTGGTATACCGTCCATGGTGAACAAGATGGAATGTCTTCCAAAACTAAATATGTACATACTCTGCCCTAATGTTTCCACTTCTAGAGATGCATTTTGCACATGTGCAGAATGACATGCTTTATGAGGATAGTCATCATAGCACTTTAATAAGGGACACTTTAATAACCTGACAGATAGGAAACCGATTCAAGAAGTCACAGTGTACTCACATAGTGGAATACCATGCAGCTATTTAAAAGAACAAGGTAGGGGTGCCTGACTGGCTCAGTCAGAAGAGCATGCAACTCTTGAATTCAGGGTCGTGAGTTCAAGCCCCATGCTGACTGTAGAGGGTACTTAAAAATAAATAAATAAACTTTGGGGCGCCTGGGTGGCTTAGTCATTAAGCATCTGCCTTTGGCTCAGGTCATGGTCCCAGGGTCCTGGGTTCGAGCCCCACATCAGGCTCCCTGCTTCGGCGGGAAACCTGCTTCTTCCTCTCCCGCTCCCCCTGCTTGTGTTCCCTCTCTTGCTGTGCCTCTCTCTGTCAAATAAATAAGTAAAATCTTTTAAAAAAATAAGTAAATAAATAAACTTCAAAATATATAAACAAAATGAAAAAATAAAAGAACAAGGCAGTTCTGTGTACGGATATGGAACAATCTCCAACATATATTAAGGGGGGAAAGCAAGGTATAGGAAAGTGTTTCTCATATGCATCCATTTGGCTAAAATAGGAAACTAACTAAAGAATAGGTAAGAAGGGGGCACCTGGGTGGCTCAGTTGTTAAGCGTCTGCCTTCGGCTCAGGTCATGATCCCAGGGTCCTGGGATC